TTTTTGGGGGCTCCCCTGACCCCATTTCCCCCGCAGCGTGTCGAAGCAGCACGCCATCATGCCGGGGCAGTCCTACGGGCTGGAGGACGGCTCGTGCAGCTACAAGGACTTCAGCGGCTCGCGGAACAACCGCTTCTCCACGCCCGAGCAGGCGGCCAAGAACCGCATCCAGCACCCGTCCAACGTGCTGCACTTCTTCAACGCGCCCCTCGACGTCACCGAGGAGAACTTCTATGAGGTGGGGCCCGGCCTCATCCTCCTCTTCATCCTCTTTTTCAGCTCCTTTTTCTCCTCCTTTTCCTCTTCTCTTTATCCTTTCTCCTCCTCTTTCTCTTTGCCTGTCTCTGGTTTTCTTATTTTTCCTGTTTTCCTCCTCCTCTTCGCCTTCTCTTTATCCTTTCTCCTCCTCTTTGTCTGTCTCTGGTTTTCTTCTTTTTCCTGCTTTTCCTCCTCCTCTTCCTCCTCCTCTTTCTCTTTGCCTCTCTCTGTTTTGTTTTTTTTCTGTTCTCCTCCTTCTCTTTTTCATTTTCTTCTCCTTCTCTTCCTCCTTCTCCTCATCCTTATCTTCATCTGTGTTTTCTTCTTCCCCTTCCATTTCTTTCTCCTTTCCTCCTCCCATGTCATCCTTCTGCTCCTTCCTCTTTTCCTCCTTTTCTTCCTTCTCTTCCTCTTCGTTTCCTTTCTTTTTCTCCATCTGTTTTTCTTCTCTTCCTTTGCTCCTTCTCTTCCTCCTCCTCTTCCTCCTCCTCCTTTTCCCCCCCAATCCCCCTGACTCCCTTTTTGCCCCCCCCAGATCTGCGATGAGTTGGGGGTCAAACGTCCCTCCTCGGTCAAGGTCTTCTCAGGAAAGAGTAAGTTTTTTGGGGGGGGGTCTCCCCTTTCCTATGGGGTCTCCCCTTCCTTGGGGGATCTCCCGTTTCCTATGGGGTCTCCCCTTTCCCATGGGGTCTCCCCTTCCTTGGGGGCATCTCCCCTTTCCCATGGAGTCTCCCCTTTCCTGTGGGGTCTCCCCTTCCTTGGAGGATCTCCCCTTTCCCATGGGGTCTCCCCTTTCCCAGGGGTTCTCCCCTTTCTGTGGGGTCTCCCCTCCCCTGTGGGGTCTCCCCTTTCCTATGGGGTCTCCCCTTCCTTGGGGGATCTCCCCTTCCTTGGGGGATCTCCCCTTTCCCATGGGGTCTCCCCTTTCCTATGGGGTCTCCCCTTTCCCATGGAGTCCCCCCTTCCTTGGAGGATCTCCCCTTTCCCATGGGGTCTCCCCTTCCTTGGGGGCTCTCCCCTCCCCATGGGGGTGTCTCCCCTCCCCTCGGGGTTCCCCTCTGAGCAGGGTGTCCCCCCCGTGTTCCCCCCAGGCGAGCGCAGCTCCTCGGGGCTGCT